CAACTCCCAGAATTCTGGGAGTTGAAGTCCACTCATCTTAAAGTGGCCAAGTTTGGACAACAATGCTATAAGTAAGTCATAGGAGCCAGTGGGTATTCTCCTGCTATACCCTAATTATTTGGCTAGTCATATTTTTCTTATCTTCTATAGATAGGAAGAAAGAGACATTCTATCCATTTAATATATTACAAAATGGAAACTGACATTAAATTCAGTCATTTGGCAGCAGTCTCAAGAGTGGGTGGGTGGGGGTACTCTGCAAGCCTCATCCAAGCTTGGTAGGGGACTGTATATTGCTCTTGGCTGTAAGTTGTACGCTGTCTTATGCAATAGAGTACCTTTGTGACAGGCCTGGATGTGCCATTCAACAAATATTTTTGTGAAAAAAGTGATGAAAGTACTTTATTTGTACAAGTTCACATACTTCCTCCATCCATAGCAAGTGTCAGCTACAACAGTTTACTTCTGTGCAATAAAATACAGTGCTGGATGGGGCAAGCTGATGCTTTGAATAGAAGTATAAGGAAGGGTGATTTCAGGCAACAGACCCCAGTGTTTCCAGAGTGTCTCAACATGTTTCAGTTCAAGGGTTAGAAAATCTGCAAGAGTGTTTGATGGAGCTGCACAAAACCTGGCCTCCAGGGCCAGTAGTGTTAGCTGTCCTATTTCACTAATTCTGTCATTGATTTGATGGATGAGACATTACACAGAACATCTTTGGGTGTATTATTCTACTTTTTATGTTGATTATGATTGTGTTGATCATGTGTTTAATTGCTGTTTGCTGCTATTTTAGGGGATGTTTATAGCTTAATTACATATATGACATTGGAATTATTGGAAATGACAAGTAATAGATACATCTCTATTTTGTTCTATGCACATTTTGTTTAGGAGTTGCAATTAATTGGCTTGCCTAGTTTTGTGGGAAAACAGGTAGGACCAGAAACACTGTTTCCTTACAAAGACTTAGAAGTGTGTTACATCTGCATTAGCCTACAAAACAGAATGAGATCAGCAGGCAAGAAAAAATGGGGTCAGGTGTAAAACAGATGATCTATTCAATACATGTCTGTGTCAGTTTCTCCTCTTTTCTTTTTAAAGACAGAGAAGGGGACTTCAGAATTGCCTACTTATATAGCAGAGTTGAGTTATATAGCAACCTGTGACTTCAGTGGTGTTGGATTTCTGATAGTTCCAGCCAATATTGTTAGTTGGCAGGAATGATGAATTTTGAAGTCCATCAACATACTGTGGTTCACAATTTTATATCCCTATATGAAACTAATTGAAGGGAATCCCACGTCTTTTCACCATGGTGCCCCAATTCTTCTGTTCTGTTAGAAGTACTGAATGGCTTTTTATATATTTGATGGGTAAATTGGAATAGAGTGGTCCTCTTCAGTTGAAAATTATATAGTACAGTACAGTCTCTCCTTTATTCACACAGTAACATTTATATTAGCTTTTCCAATCTGAATTATGTTTAAATACTAACAGGAAGATGTTACCTTTTAATGTACACATATTTGTTCTAATTAATATAAATACAACATTCAGAAATATTCTTATCAAGAAATAGATACACGGATACACACAAATAGACACAAACACACAAATAGTCACATATACACAGAATTTAGTAATGCCTGAAATTATATTAGCTAGAAAGCATGTTTGAGAAAAATACTCTGTAATTAATTGTAAAGTAGAATTACTTGAATAAAATGTACTGTCAAGGTCAAAGTAAGTGAAAGGCAGTGTTCACTTAGCAAAAAGAAGTAAAAGTTTGGCCATAACATTGTATGAGTCTTAAAAATGGAAAACTGCTCAGTCAGTGGAAAAGAACTGCTAGATGTACCGCAAACATCGTTACAGAGAAATTCCATCTTTAATTGGAAAGCCCTTTACAATTTTTGGTGCTGATGGTACTAGAGTTACAGTATTATGACCCCGGCTTGGATTAGAAATGTGAGCTTAAAACAAAACAAACCACTGTTCCAGAGTGACAAGCAAGGTTTCCAAGCCTGAATGGCCTCTCTCCCTGGGGACCCAAGTTCATTATATATTGCAAGTGTCACTTTTCATTCAGGATCAATGTTATAGAATGTTGTTCAGATATTTATGTCAGTGGATTGTGTTTGACTATTTGAAAGGAAGATAATATGCATAAGACTAGAATACAGGGGAAGTTAGGCTTGATTTGGAAGTAAAGAACTATGAAAATGAAGTGGCAATGTATATGTTAGGAAATGTTATTAGTTGGCATTCATTTTGTATTTAGAAAAATAATGTTTTTAGGAATTGTATTAGCATATTGTGACTTCAGTAAGGGTCAAGGTAAGGGTTTCAGTTTAAGATTAGATAGATAATCTATTAACATGTATATTTTTTCACCAAACTATGGAAATTGTCATATGCGAGACAATGTCCATTTCTGAATAAAGCGTGCTTCAAATAAAAATCTTAAAGAAAGATTTGTTTTTGATTTTTAAAGTACACTATGTATCACAGCTACATATTAATTTAGTTTTATATTGAGTGGGAGTGATATTGATCTCCTTCGATTACAGCCAACACTTTAATATAAGAACAGTGTTCTTGAAGGCTATTTAAATATGAGAATGACCCATCTATTAATACAATGCATTTTCTTTTCCATGTGTTTTTTTTTTATGATTTTATTATGATGAAGGATATACTGGGGAAATGTGTCAGTCAGCGATTGACTATTGCACTCAGCAGCCTTGCCAGAATGGAGGGACCTGCTATTCTAGTAGCGGTGGATTCCATTGCCAATGTCCAGAAGGTAAGCAGTAAGTTTCAGTAATACTTAAGACGGTGCATGTTTTTTATAGGGCATTTAAAGGCACTAACGGTGAGTAGATATATGTGCATATCTGTGAATACAAATCAGAATCTTCCTATCCAATCATAGGGAATTCTTGCCATCTTGCTGAATCTCCAGCTTTTGGATCATTTGGCCCAAAACCTTTTATCTCACCTTGAGCATGGAGAAGGCAGACATTCCCTTCTCCCTGCCACCAGAGCACTGAGTGGGAAAGTTGTAGGAATGATCACTTCATAGCTGCAGCTTGAGAGAAAAGATGATTAGGCAGACGGCAAACACAGCACAGCTCATTGTCATCATATAGCTGTGGGAGTATTCCAGGAGCTAATATTGCCTCTGACCAATAAAAATGTCCCACCCCAATCTATATGTGCACATACATGCATGTCTTTTGTGTGCTGCTGCATATGCAGTTATTTAGGTAGCTGTGTAGTACTAGAAGGAGTACTAGAAGGAGTAATGTGTGAGTGTTCTCATGACTGAAAGTAACTGACTTTGTAGGCATATGTATTAAAATTCTTCTGTTGGCTTTTGTCTATAGAGTTATCAGTGTTTCAGATTAGAACACAGTATGTTGATTGAATTTTACTTGTTGTAGCTTGCATCTGATTTGAAATACCTTTTACATCAATTGGTTTTTTCCTAATTATACA